GAGACCCAAGTTCGTCATGGCCAAAAACCCATTTCGTCACTGTGATAACTTTTTTCCGAGAGGAACTCTTGCTCACCTGACACCTTTCATCATGACTCCCCCTTAACTTAGTCGTGATGAAAACCCATTCCTGAAAGTAAGCTCTCCCAAAACTCTCTGCTTTGCCTTGACGAAGTTTCACTTTGTCGCGACTAACAAATTCTGAGAGGGATTTGTTCACCTGCTCCTCCAACTCACTTTGATCCCAAACTAGACACCAAGATTCAAATTTAAACACTAATTATCCTCAAAAATCAGAGTTAAAGGGCTATTAAAACTTAGGATGTTGCACTGTTGTATTCCTTCCCTTTACTCTTTTTGCTTTGGATTGTCATATTATTGAGCTGGGCTGTGGTGGATACTACTTATTTTTGTGATTTTCCCTATGTGTTGTGCATTGAGGATAATACATTATTTAAGTGTGGGGGAGGGATTTCATTCTTTTAGTTTTTTTCCTATGTTTTTACTTTTGTTTTAGTTTCCTCTTTAAAAAAAACTAAAAAAAAATGTTTTGTTTTGTTTTGAATGTGAAGATTACAAGTTTGAAGTGATTCAAGTATGATACATTCTTGATTTGAAAAGTGATTGATCATGTCTTGAGTGGATAAACTAAATGGCAATGGATTTGACTTAGGTGAATGTAAGCTAGTAATCATGTACCTAGTGAGGTTTTGAGCCTGATGCATTTCTTCTTTTCATGTGTGTATACTCTTATCTCTTTTCTCGATCTAGAACTTGATTTGAATCTTGTTTGAGACCACGTTTGTGCATCTGCATTCATAAAGATGATAAAGGCATTCATTTCTATTTTTCTAGTTAAATAAGCCAAAAGTCTACCCTTTTCATGCATTTATCTTTTGTTTAACCCCTTTTAAGCCTTCATCATTTTTTTTTTTCCTTAACCCATAGCCAAAAAAAAAAATCCTACCCTTTCTGAATATCTTAGGAGTTGCAGAGTACTAAATTACATGTGCTTGGGATGGAAGAACACATTTAGAGTCATGGTTTGGGTTAATTTGAAAGAAAAAAAAGAAAAGGAAAAAAAGAATATGTAATAAGATTCCGCTCCTCTAGTTTAAGCTGTGCTTAGTAACCGAGGATCTTCGTCACCAATGTCGATCTTCGTGTCAAACAGCCATTAAGGGCTATGAGCGTGCTAGTAGCATCTTAGTGTCAATAAGTTATCCGTGCTTGAGTAACCGGGCCTTTGTATCACTAATATGAAGGTTCACGTCAAAAGAGCATATACATAACGGCTTAAGAAAGTAAAAAAGAAAAAAGGAAGTGGAAAAGAAGAAGAAGAAGAAGAAGAAGAATGACCCAATTCAAGTTTAATTTAGTTTCTTGCATTCCATTATATCTTTTCAATAGTTCTCTTCATTTCCTAAGATGTTCAACTTTAGTTTCCCAAACACTATATCCTTTCTTTCTTTACCTTAGACCTATTACAACCTAATAAAAGTCCTTTTGATTTATACTTGTGATTGCTTTATGATTGGTGAAGAATTTAGATTCTTGTTAAGCCTATGGAAAGAGGATTGGATAGGATGGTTTTGAGTGTAAACATAAGCCAATACACTCTTGAGTGATGAGTGACATATACATTAAACTTGGTGAGGGATTTCTGACTCAGATTCCCTTTTGTCAAGTAAATTGCCTTGATGTTTGTTTTCTTGATTCATGAGAAGATTACTTGGATAAGAAAGATGTTGAATCCTTTGGTTTGCTTTTTGCTTGTGATTGGAACATTAACTTTTGTTTGATTGTCTATTCTTTTACTACTCTTTGGTCTTCATTTGCTTTGCCTAGGAGTGTAAAGGCTACGTGTGGGGGAATTGATAAAGCCTAATTTTTATACATTTTATCCCACATTAATTCAGGATTTAAATGATAATTTTGGGTTTAAATGGATTTTTATGTATTATTGAATTAATTGGTTGATTTTTGGATTTTGCATAAAAATTGAGATTTTGGATTAAAAATATAAATATTATGTGATTTCCTATTTTTACTTGGAATTAATTTTTCCTATTTCTTTGGAAACAAGTCTTATATTTTTAGAAAGATTATTTTTAGAAAGTTTTGCAATTTCTTGCCTAATTTTTGTGCATATCTAATATTTAATTTTGATATAGATTATATTATATTTGAATATAATCTACATTAATGGATGCATTTGAATTCTTGTAGGTCAAAAAAGAGCATATAGGGAGCCCAATGGTACAAGATTGTTTCTTGGAATTTAAACACAATATAATGGTTAATATCAAGTGGGTCAATTAATTACTAATGGGTTTGAGCTTTGAATCCACAAAAAATTTTCTCTTCTCCCATTAAAATATTCCCCTCATTCCATATAGAAAATTCACACCGAAGATCACTTTTTCCTTCTCCATTCAGCTGCATGGACACCATTTAACATCAATTCTCTTCTTTCACCGTGATCCCTCAAGCCTGATGCCTTGCACCATATCTTCCTTCATCCCATTTTCACAATACACTACCATCTCTCACCATTATCAATTCACTTCACGTATACAAAGCCATTAGTCATCATCATCCATTCAACTAATTCCCTTCCTTAGACACACATTCACCTACACCACCCTTCATCATTCACAAGTCATCATGACCGTGAGTTTCATGGAGCTTGGAGGGAAGATCAATTTGATGGCAGCTTGAGCTTGCATAGGAGACAACTTGGAAGGAGCATGGAGGAAACTTGAACCTTGGGCTACTATTTGAAGACCACAAGGGAGTGATATTCCATTTATCTTTTTAATTCAAGGACTTAAGATTATTTAATTTTAAACAATTTTGAGTTGTAATTTTGTGAGACAATTTAGTTCTAAATTGTCATTTTTATTCTTGGATTGGATTGATATTTGGAATTTATTTGTGTTGAGACATTTGATGGAATTTATGTTTATGAACTTTTGTATTATTAATTGAATTTATAATTGAGTTTTCATTATGAATTTAATTATCAATGTGGTTTGAATTGCAAAATTTAGGTTCTTTTGCCTTTTAATTGTTTAATTAAGTTGGTTAATTGTCAAATTGTTTAATTGGATAATTTCAAACATAATTTTCAGAATTAATTTAAGTTATTTTCATTGGTTTTAGTAAGCTTAATTAACCAACCTTATACTGTTATAAGTTTTCTAATAGTTTAAGGGTTTTTGAAATTAAGGGTTCCCTTTGTTTCAAATAGGTGATTAAATTTATTAATTCTACTCTCTTATCACTTTCCTTTGGTCTAATTAATTGATTAAGGTTATGAAGGTTAAATCCATGCTAATCCTAAGTTGTCCCCTCTACCTTACTTGAAGAGAAACTTCTCAATTTTTACTTGTTAATTTTTTTTTGCTCTTTAGTCAATTTTCCTTATTTATCATTTTAATTTTTTCTTCAAAAAAAATCCCCCCAAAAATTACATTGTATTTATTTAGTTTAATTTAATTTTCATATAGATTTTAGGACATTTGCATCTTGCATTTAGAATTAGAATTTTACATTTTAGTTTAGGTCCAATTTTTTTTTATCACCTAAATTTTTACCTAAAAAGACCCATAACTTGCTCCTTAGAAGTAATGACTTAGGTTGATCATAAACTACAAATTAATTAGGACGTAGTTTAATTAAGTGCTTTAATGACAGATGCATCATCAAGGTATCAGAAGGTCAGCAACATTATCTGGGCATAAAAATGCCCCTTGACTCGGTTGCGTCTTGCGTGGCTTGTTAGCGTGGAGGATGGTATCTTGCTCCAAATGCAGTACGAGAGAGAGCCTGAGAGAATCATATATATGTGTTATGTGTTTATCGTTAATTACTATAATAAGTAATAAATTGTCTCAATGTGTGCTTATTTAATTTTGTCAAAAAAATATCATGGTATTTCATATTTATAATCTTTAAAATAAAATAATATTTTTCTGTTGGTAAAAAAATTCATTTTTTACATAAACATTTTTAATCTCATATTTTATAAATATATATAGATATTAATTATTTATTAATTATATTTTCTTATATATTATTAATTATGTTGGTAAAAAAATATTATTAACAATTTTATTGCTTTAAATTAAAATATATTATAAAATCTATATTTTATGTAATTATCATATTAACTTATGTCTTTTTTAGTAATTTGCACATGTAAAAAGTGTTTCTAATAACAACTATCCAAACATTCTCACTTTATTATAATTACTTTTTCACAAAATCTATTCTTCACAAAAGCTATTCTCTCAAATTCTATTTTTCAAAAATTATTGATTTGGTTTCATCCAAACACCTCCTAAACATCTGCAATCAATATTGGGAGTCAATTCTCCGTTAAATTCCTGATTATGTGTGATACGGTTGTGTTATTATTGCTCCCTATCTTCTAAGCTAGCATCACGGTTCTGTATTCTTATTTGATTGAGATTCTATACCTATTTATACACCGTACATATCAGAATACGGAAATTTCAAAAATTTTATCAATCTATTTGGAAAAAATTATGAAAAATGCACCACACAATTGTCAAATCATACCAGCCACATATATATATACATATACCATATTTTAATGGAAATTTGGTTATCTGCCTATAGATTTTTAATCCCCCTTAATAACAAACATAATTGCGTTGGCTCCCCCCCCCCCTTCTTATTTTTAAATTTTTCGTAAATAATTTTCTGTCATTCTATATCTAATATGTGAATTCTACGTTATATGAATTAATATAATAATATATTTAGGTCAAAAAGTACAAGCTTTAATACACACGTCAAAATTGGCTTGAAAAAACACACAAACATCATTAAATATGATTATTATTTATTAAAGGAAAAGGCCTCATAATGCTACGCACATCTTTTAAATCTTTCTTATTTACAAGGTTGCGAGTTTTAAGCATGACGGATATATGAGTTTCTTCCATTCAACGAGAGATAAAAAAAACCAGTTAAAATTTTTTATTAGTAAAAAAGGGGTTGAATTTGTTTATCATTATACCATCAAGAATACTCAAAGGCTAATTTTTTTGATTTATTGAAATTACAAAAAATCTTAGCAAATTGTTTCTTATATTTGATAACAATGGGAGTGTGCCTTTGGCTGCTGTTTATGCAGTTTCGTAGCTATAGGTTGAACATAACCTTGATAGTATTGCCACCACGGGCACTGGTTTCAAAGGCCTCTTCAACCTCCTTCTGAGAGAACCTAAACCTGTGAGTTATAAGGGGCTTCACATCTATCTTCCCACTCCTCAAAAACTCCAGACACAGAGGCCATGTGTTCTTGTAACGGAAAATCCCAATCACATCAACTTCCCTGTATTTTGAACCATACAATTACTCATTTAAAAATATATATAATGCAGAGTAAGGGAATGCTGGTTATGCTGCCAAGTCTACAATTACAGGAAGCTTCGGGGTTTACTACTAATGAAGCATGAACATGGAAATGCAACAAAAGCTTTTCTTTTCCCCCTTCACCTCTCTTTCCAAACACGCACTCAGAATCTCTAGACAAGTTATACCCTAATGTTCGTATGAGTTTTGAAGTGTAGCATCATGTTTAACTAATTCTCTTGGAGTACATCTTCTCTCTTCTGTACTTACTCTGTAACTTTCAAGTGAGTAACAACCAATATAACAGAAAATCATGTGTCAGCAAAAACTTTTCAAGCAGAAAAGTGATTCTACCATACACAGAGACACACACACACATGTACTCAGACAGAGCACAGTAATTATACCTTGCAGCAGCAGGCGTGAGTGGAACAGTCATTTGAGCCTGTGCCATTCCCACGAGGCACACTTTGCCACCTGCACGGGTAGCACTCAATGCAGTGGTCATAGTTTTGTCGAAGCCTGCACAATCAAAGCTAACATCCACCCTACTTCTCATTGCCTTTTGTATCTCTACAACTTCTTCACTCACTTCCTGCAAAGTCAGTGTGCACTTCAAGCTTGGCTTAGGTGGTGTTCAGTGATAAAGAATGGCATGCCACGACTGAACGAAAGAGAGGATCAGATAACTATTTCTAGTTGCCGGCCTGGTCCAGTTAAAAGCCAATGAAATTTGTGGTTTAAATTAGTATTTGTCTTAATGCATAGATCTGCGGGCATTGAAGGCAAAATCATAACAAGGCCATTAAAGCCAATGGAAGTTGGCCCCGTTAGAGAGGATGCAACCCAAATCCCGTTGGTGAGTAATTTATAAGTATCTTTGTAACCACTTGTTGAACCATGAAGATCATGGGAATATGCCGAAATCTAACTTAAATTTTTGTCTTCCAAACATAAAATCCTAATGAAGTAACAAGTTTATCACAAATTCAACTTTCTTTCTTCATTCTGTTTACCAGGACACATAAAAAAGTTATTAAATGATATGCAGATCAGTTATGACAAGGTTACCTCAATTTTTGCCGAAACTTTAACAGTCTCATCTGCACCAAGAGATTCTGCAACAGATAAACGATGCTCATCCACGTCCACAATGATGATCCTGGGTGCCCCAAAAGCACGAGCTGAGAGCATTGTGACAAGTCCAATTGGTCCTGCTCCCATGATCAACACATTTGTTTCTGGTCCAATATTAGCCCGGCGACACGCATGAACACCAACGCTCAAAGGTTCACACATTGCCCCCTCCTCCAAGCTCACGTTGTCTGGCAATTTGAAACATAGGTTTGCAGGATGCACTATCTGTCAAAAGGAAAGGCGCAACTCAACATGGGTTTTTTGCAGGATGCACTATCTGTCAAAAGAAAAGGGGCAACTCAACATGGGTTTGTATTGGAGTAAACGTATTTCACCTCATACAGCACATAGACACACAAGCAAGGTGAGGACTTATTACATGATCTTCACTTTTTCATTCAGTCTTAATTGAAACTGTGATTATGATCCTCTTACACAAGTTAAGATAATATGTGCTTTTGAACTATAGGATAACCTGTAATCAAATAAGCAGAAAGAAAATGAAGAACATCAGAAAAACATGAAAAGAAGAATGAAGTTCTTCTCGTGTATATTCCATTTATATAGATACAAATCATTCTTTCCTCTTCCATCCTATAAAATATTTTGACATGCGCCAAAACTCAAACAATGAAAGTTTTTCTATATATTTAAAATAAATATCCTTATCTTTTTAGTATAAGCTGATTCACCTGCTAAAATTATGGAATAAAGCTGCACTAATTTACTAACCACTAGTTACACTCCTCCTTATCTGTGCATTGATTTGAGCTTTTCAACCTCACCTGGGGCAATTATTTTATATGAATATCAGGACAACAACGCTAGCATAATCACCTATCTTCCTTTTCTGTTTTCCTAAGGAAGTGATACTTAATTTTAATGTACTATAACTATATTTTTCCCTGGAGTCATTTGCTGACTTGTGGTTACATAGTGGCGTTGTTGCTTCCTTTGATGCAGACTTCAATCAACCTGCCACTGCATTAACTATAGTGCTTAAGTCAAAGCATGTTCAGCTGCTATGAACTCTTCTTTGGCTCTGGCTTGAGCCACTTTATCCTGCTTTCTAGTGATCCAGCATACATTCTTCAGGTAAAGGTGAAGAATAGCCTAATGTCCGTTCATATCAGCAGCATTTCAATATGTATGCATAATATTGAGCCTTATGGCTCTGAAATATAGCAAGCATCCTAGCCATAACACTTACATAGAAGTTAGCATCAGTTATAGTAGCTTCATCATCTTAACACAGCTATCCTTTTTGACAAGGTGGAGTACTTCCTGAAATTCTACCAGTGTGCTTCCTCTGGTTTATGAGGATTTCTTTTTTTCCAATAGAAGAGCTTACCATGTCAAGAAAGTAAAATGGAAAAGTTCCCAATAGATCAAATCATGAGATCAGTTAAACGGAAAAGAACTGTCAAAGAATCAAGTGAAACACAGCTACCATTAATAAGGATATGGGATCAAATCATGAATAATTCAAGGGTCCACCACCAAACACAAATCTAATAAATAACCAGACATGTTGTCTTTCTTCTCGACTAGGCATAGAATCATCAAAGCATGTCTTCCTCAGTTGGAACTGACGAGGAACATTGACATCAATGTCAATGAATTTTGAATGCAAAATATAAAATCCACAGCAATCACAAGCAATAATAGAGATCATTCCAGAGATCTGGCGCGAGAGGCCCCATCTAGTTAGTGAAAGAACTATGCTTTGATATGCTTCAAACCTGATTAGCAAGAGAACCATGAACTGGTGGACTAGCAAAGAACTTCATATTGGGGCACAAGTTATATCGACCTTGTTTGCAGAGGTCACAATGTGAGCAGCTAATTCCAGGTTCAATTGCCACAAGGTCACCAGGTACCACATTCTTTACTTCACTGCCAACTTCTTCTATGATCCCTGCACACTCATGGCCCATTACCATGGGTTCTTTCATTACATAATGTGCATTCCTCATTTTCTGCAAAATCAAAGAAAATTGGAACTCATTACTGGTGAGAATATAAATAAATACAAGGGGTATTTTCTGGTCCAGGCAAGGATAAATCATTTTATTAAATATAACTCAGAGGCAAAGCCCAAAAAAAAAGGGTTATCACCTTGAAGTAGTGAACATCACTGCCACAGATACCAACAGCTTTGATTCGAATTCTGGCATCATGGGGGCCTTTTTAATATGCAGTGAGATAGATTGTGAGAAGTAGGAATTCACAGGTAATTGAAGATTACTTTACAGAAAAGAATATCATTCTCAGTGGAAATATTCAGAGCTACTGGTGAGAGGGAGAATTATGGGTACCCAGAGGCGGCAGCTTGAAAGGTTGAATCTTGAGAGTATTTATACTAACAAGCCAAGCAGCCATGTTCTCTTCTTCCTCATGACCTTCATGCGACATCCCACCTTGACCTATTTGCTCTCTGCAACTCTCTCTGTTCTCTCAAGGTTGTATGAAACACAGAAACAGTGAGACGAATGGATAGCATAGAGTGCCACAGCTTGGAATGCGACTATGCGAGTCTCATGCTCCTTTAGATCTTTTGTCTTGCTCTTTTTTTTTTTTTTTTTGGTGATCATTTTGTCTTGCTCTTTGAAATTACATATTTTTTCAGTGATCGGTTAAAGATGAATTTAACTTCCAAGTTACTGTAGTTTTTTTTTTTTTTTTGAAGAAGTCTCTTTCTTCTGGATGATATATCATGCGCAGCCACCGTGTGTTTGAGGATGATTCAGCCGTTCTCATCCATATGACGATGTGATGGGGACTTTCCTTGTCACTGGTCAACTTTGCCCGTTGCCAAAGAGATCAATGCGCACCGCAACTGGCTCGTGATTTTATACATATGACCGTTAAATAAAACGACGTCGTTTAACTAATGTCAAACTAAAACAGATAATTTCTCTTTTTTTTCCCCAGCTGGAAATTTTGACACTTTATATTGAAAAAACGTAGTTATTAATATGAGTAAAATACACTGATTTCCCCTTTATTTAATCGAAACCATAGGGTCTTGTCTTTTATTTTGAAAACTTTTATAAATGCCTTTTGAAATTGAAATATATGTTATATAATGCTAAACTTTTGTTTCCATCATGAACCTTTGACATAAATATTAATTAACAATCACTTAATTACTTATCGTTCCCAAAAAATAATTTTAATATATCTTTGAATTTTTTGTTATGTTATTAAATTGATTAATTGATTAAATTAATTTTATAATTCTAAAATATTATTTTTCTAATAATTTTAAATGTTTAATCTTATTTATTTATACAAACTTACTCATTATATAAACCTCTTGAGCTTCCGAAAAAATATGCCCTAAAAAACGTGAAATGTGAAGTGGTGGCTTATTCGAAAGTGAGGTTATGTTTGAATTCACAGTAAAAAATAGGTTTTTTTTTTTTTTGGGTACAAAAGGAGGTAAAAGAAATAGAAAAAATTGAAACATGGGGGATTGCAATTCCAAGCATCTTTCTTTTTTTTTTTTTTTTTTGTGAACAAAGAGACAAGCCGAAGCTTGGGGCATTCCAAGCATCTTTCTAAACCAGGGTCCTCATGTGTTGAGGCGCCATGCCAAATATAGGGGAAGTCTGTAAGACCATGTTTTGCTAGTGCATCTGCAACTGCAATTTTGTTACCCTCAGGATGAACAAATTGAAGCTTAACTTTCCAAGTGTCAACAATCAAGTCTCTGAATCTCATTTCAAAAACTAGATTTTAGCCCATTCCTCGATCAGGTTCATAAGCACTACGTACAGTCAGCAAGATAGCTTGAGAAACCAATCATCCAGTTTCCATGATGATCTGGAAGAACACGCCCGCACGATGATGCTTTATGAGAATCCAGTTGCTAAGACAACAGGTGAAGGATCATGTGTGGTTTAATGAAAACCATTTTTAAAATTAAAGTCATTTCTCCACTGCCATAATTTCCAAACTACCACACCTCAAGTGAGATCCCAATCACCAGTCATATCAGAACCAAAATTCCCCTTGAGATTCATGTGAACCCAATCAGACAATGACGCTGCATAGAATTGTTTTGAGCTACTGCACGTTTTATGAGTAAATCCCGTAATGTTCTAGTGTAAATATAAGAGTAAAGGTGCATCCAGCATCCTCATTATTTTTTCCAGAAACATTTAATACTATAATCTTATTTTTAGTGCATCGAACACCCTAATTCAATAAAATAACTAAAAGAATAACATCTGGGTGCTGGATGTATCAGAAAAATAAGATTAGGGTGCTAGGTAAACTATTAAAAAAAAAAAATCATCGTACTGGATGCACTTTTACCCTATATACAATCCCTCAATATGTGAAAGACATCCTCTACTCCATTTTGATCCCGATCACATAACCAAGAACATTGAGACCATCGGCTCCCCCACTCATTGGTGGGTAATCGATTCTGAAAAATTTGCCACATGAAGAATCTATTCCATCTCCATATCAGTTTGAGAGTTGGATCATAACGCGCCTCATCACTCTTTTCAATCATATGGTAGACAATTTTAATAGAAAATGCACCACCAAAGTTCCATTCCACATTACTATATCATTATCATGCTCAAGTCTTGGAGGCAATGTTATCAAACTCACGAGTTTAAGTAAACTCGCGAGAAGAATATAAACTCAGATTATAAACTCATAAGAGTTTACTTCTATTAATAAATAATTATTAAAAGTATATAATTAAATAATTAAAATAAGAAGACAATAATTTATTTTAGATATATATCAAATTCAAATCATTAAAATTGAATCCATCAACCAAAGTTATCATAAATTAATAATGAAAGGATAAATTTATCATACAAACTCGTAAAACAAAATTGTAAGAATTTATCTCTTGTTAAAAATTAGCTTAAAAATATTATCATATTGTTAAATACCAATTACAACCATACATATAATCAGTTTATATTTAGTTGATTATGATAAAAATATAAATAAATGTTTAATACCGAGCCAACATACATCTAACAAATGGGATTTGTTTAAATAAATTTAATATTTAGTTCTTTATTTAAATAAATTAAAATTTTTACAATTAAAGTACTTGAACAAATTTTTTTAAAATAAAAAAATTTATACCATTTACAAACTCCAGCATACTAATGTGGGAATACAACTCGTAGACACGCCAAATAACTCGCGATTTTATTGTCCAACTACGATTCCATGCGAGTTTCATCCGAGTTTGCTGACTTCCGATTTTGTTCAAGAATTAACACGATATAGACGCCTAAGCACACAAAAAAGGACGATCCTGCGAGTTAAATCACGTTTTTAACACCATTGTTTGGAGGTATATATAACGGCTGACAGCTTATTTATGATCTCATTTGGAACTAATCTAGCAAGCCGAGTCAAATCCAAGTGCCATTATTTAATCCCTCAGCAACATTTGAATTTTCTCCAGCATCAGTTAGATGTCTCGTGCAAAGATTTGTGATTTTAGTGTCAGAAGAGGGTAAATAGGCTTTTGATGGATACGTCACGCGACGGTGTCTTGAGTGTTTTTCTATTATTAGTTTTTCTTTTGTTGGTTGTTGTCTGTTTTTTTTTTCAATATATTTTAAATGTTTCGGCCGGCCTTTTCATTTGGTTTATTTGGATTTGTTCACATTTTATTTATATTAAATAAAATTGTCTTTTTACCCAAAAAAAAAATTTGTTGCTCTTAGGCGTCAGTGTTAAAAAAAAATGGAGAGAGGAAAACATGACCATGAGATTCTGGAAAAGAGATTTTGAGTAGATCCTGCTTTAATTTGGGGGGGGGGGGGGAGTAGAAGATAAAATTACTCTAAAGAAATCAGTAATTATATGTTTATAAAAGTATCTAAAGAAGGAAAAAAAAATAAAGCACATACATTGGCTGAAGATTTTATTTTATAGTGAACATTTGCAAAAATAAATATTTTCACTTAAAAGTATAAGATTATGAAATGATATAGATTTGAGAATATTATATTAATATGTCAGATTTATAATTTAAAATTTTTAAACACATTTCATTAAACATACAATAATATTAAGAAAATTCTTGTTAATTTTTCAAAAAAAAAATTATAAATATCAAAGTACCAATAATTTTCTTATCCGTATCATATTCCATATTAAGGATATGGTCACACAATAATTAACAATGCACTCATTACTGAACTACCTCTCTAGTCCATTTACTTTCATGAGGTAATGATCACTAAAAAATAGCTATAAATGGATGCCTTTAAAGAGATAATTATTTGTATGAATTATATAATAACTAATAATGCCACCTCCATTCCTATTCCAAAAAGCATAATTATTATAAATGTTTGGACAATACTCTCGACTCGATACGATAAAAATTAAAATCAAATTCAGAGTGATTTGAGAATACTCTACATGACTACAATGATTACATAATAATGCAATATATATGATACCTCAATTAAACATAACCTTTAACTTTATAGATCGAACATAGTCTAGTTTGTGTAAAATCTAAGTGTTTACAGATTGAACATGACCTTAATAGCATTGCCACCACGAGCACTGGTTTCAAAGGCTGCTTCAACTTCCTTCTGAGAGAACCCAAACCTGTGAGTTATAAGGGGTTTCACATCTATCTTCCCACTACTCAGATACTCCAAACAGAGAGGCCATGTGTTCTTGTAACGGAAAATCCCAATCACATCAACTTCCCTGCATTTTGAACCATACAATCACTCATAATTAACTTTAATACTATGATTACACAAAGCTTCAACATAATAACTCGTGCAACATGCCTGGTTTACATTTGTTATATCGATCTAACAGCAAATGGCAAACTTGAATTTACTTAGTACTATTAGTTTTACTTTCTTCATGCCTATAAAATCTCTTGCTCCTCATCATCATACCACTTCGTCCTCATAGCAAATGTTGAGTCCTTGGTCCTCAAGCTTGATATAAATCAGAAAAAGCCAGTATATGACAATATTGATTCGCATGTTTTCAACTACCCAGAGTTTACACAGCAAAATCTAAATGTTCATATGCCTTGACCTACTGTAACATGTTTAATAGGTTTTTGTCGAGAAGACTAACTTTTCCTTGCTTTCAATTTTTTTAATCATCATCCTTACTCTGTAATTCATATATCAGTACTAAGCATCAATATAACACTGCCTCTGGTCCTAAATATAAGATATAATTTGTAGTGTAAATTGCATTACAAACTAGATCTTATATTTAGCACAACTAATACAAATTAGTCAAAATTTTTCCAGAAAACAATTTTTAGGCAGGAAAGTTTATCTCCAACTGATGCAAATGCGGACCAAGAATCATACCTTGCAGCAGCAGGTGTGAGTGGAACAGTCATTTCATGATGACCCATCCCCACAAGGCACACTTTGCCGCCTGCGCGAGTAGCAGTCAATGCAGTGGTCATAGTTTTGCTGAAACCTACACAATCAAAGCCAACATCCACCCTAGCTCCCATAGCTTTATGTATCTGAACAACTTCTCCACTCACATCCTGCAAAGTAGCAAAATATAAAACTTGGTCAAGGCATAAATTACTCACATCTTCACAGTGCCAAGGAACAGATGCCTAGTGGAGACAATACTTGCATAGCAGACGCAAAATTAGTAACTTGTCAAGGCATAAATTTCTAGGTGTTCAAGGTAAAAGCATGAAGTAATAGATCCCGCATGCTAGAGGGTCAGCTTTCTCTATTCATTCTTCAAAATTTTTGTTTGCCAACCATGACATCATCAAAAGCCACTAAGTTTCTTGCACATCAGTAATGATTAATGAGAATTGTACCTCAATTTTTGTTGAAACTTTCACAGTCTCATCTGCACCAAGAGATTTTGCAACCAATAAACGATGATCATCTACATCCACAATGACGATCCTCGGTACTCCAAGAGCTCGAGCTGAAAGCATTGTGACAAGTCCAATGGGGCCTGCTCCCATGATCAACACATTTGTTTCTGGTCCAACATTAGCTCGGCGACAAGCATGAACACCAACACTTAGGGGTTCGCACATTGCCCCTTCCTCCAAGCTCACATTGTCTGGTAGTTTAAAACATAGGTCTGCAGGATGCACTATCTGTCAAGAACAGAAGTGTAGCTCAAACATGAGTTTTGGTTAAGAGTGAATTTATTTCATTACAAATGACCCACAAACGCAACACTCAAGTTCACAAACTGTTCACATAAAGGGATGCAAACTATCCTGTGTAAAGAAAAATGCAGAACAAACATGGATTTCTAATTTGAAAATGTACACACACAAACACAGTGACAAGGGGATCAATATTGGGAATTATAACATGATATTCACTTTTTCAAGAAAATAATTATTAAGAATGTAATTATGATCCTATTTAACTTATCATACGCATACGAATGCGTCAACACACACTTACAGTATAGTGTCCACCTACTTGTAATGATTATCAAAAAGGCCCCAAGTGAACGAAACAAAGGATGGCACTGCTTTAAAGATCAGTGATCTGTAAAGAAAACTGGTTCCTTGTGTCCCCAAGTTGTGACAGATCATTATTCCTCTTCAATAAATCTTACCAAACTTGTAAGTGACTCAGGCTAGGGAAATTAATATTTTTACGCCCATCCTACACCATGCTGGCATTTTCACATGTAATTGATTTGACAATTTAAGTGAATATCACAGCTTTTAAATTTGTTAAAATGTATCACTGCAACTCTATTTTTGAATGGAGTCATCCTTTTGTTTTTCATCTGTCAAGATATTCTTTTCATTAGAGATTTGAAGCAAGCAACAAGACACTAACAATTCATTTCAGGATACACATAAGAAATGCCAATATTTGGATGATATGAGACAATTTCCTTTAGTTTGAAACTTCCTTGATTGAATTCAAAACTACCTCCTTTCACCTATTTGCAGCTAAGAAGAGCTCTAACAAGGATATAGGATCAGATCACAACAGATTGAAGGGTCTGCCATCATACAGAACTACAGTTAAGAAGAACTCTAACAAGCATGTTTTTCTATCAGAAGAAATGATGAAGCACGTTAGCATTATTGAAAGAAATACAGTTTGAGAAGTTATAAATTCCTTCAAACCTGATTAGCAAGGGAACCATGAACTGGTGGAGTTGCAAGGGACTTCACCTCAGGGCATAAATTGTATCGACCATCCTTGCAGAGATCACAACGCCAACAACTAATCCCAGGTTCAATCACCACATGGTCGCCAGGTTCCAAATGCTTTACCTCACTACCAATTTCTTCTATGATCCCTGCAGCCTCATGGCCAATTACCAATGGTTCTTTCACTATAAAATCTGCCAATCTCAGTGTCTGCAAATTGATAAAATCAGAAAGTATTACTGGAAAGAATACAGATGAATGAAGGGGAAAATTCATTAAAGTAAGCAAGGAGAATTATTTCATAGGTACTTTTTAGTCGACATAATTCAGATGCAAAACATATATGCTTACCTTGAGGAAGTAAATATCACTGCCACAGATCCCAACAGCTTTCATTCGAATTCTGACATCCTGGGGGCCTTCACACATACAAAGAGAAGAGGGTCAATGAAATCAGTATGAGTTCATACTGATAAGTAAAGATTGCTGTGCAGAAAAGAAAAGCACACTTGAATTAAAATAAAGAGTCAATTGAGTAGAATAGATACCCAGGGTAGGAAGTATGAAAGGTTGAATCTTGAGGGTATTTATACCAACAAGCCAGGCAGCCATATTTTCTTCTTCTCCATGACCTTCACGTGACATCCCACCTTTACCCATTTGCTCTAGCTAAGTCTGCTCCCCTTTCTCTCTAAGCTAAGCACCTGTTTGGTTGAGCTAATGTGTCAGGAAAGAAAATGAAAGAAAGGAGGAAAATAGAAATTTATGTTTGATAGGAAATAAATGAAAGATGGGAAGGAAATGAGAAGGGCGGATTATCCAAAAGCCTGTAAGCTTTCTTCATATTCAATGTATAGAATGGGAACGTTGAAAGTTGAAACAACTTCTGAAATCATCACTCAAAAAACTGGACAAATATGCATTATTAAGAAAAAAACAGAAAACAGTTGAAGAGGGGAAAAAAACAGAAAACGGTGGAGAAATATAAAGTGAATGTTTGCACAAGTCCTTGAAATAAATGCTAAGATGACTCCATTAAATCATAATATATCCTCCCTCAAGTTTCTCATAAAATATCCGGTGAAAAGATTAAAAAGCCAGAAAATGGACATGAATATAATCAGAAACAGTGATCCTTAATGTCGCTTTGGGGTCAAATTAAATTTGATTTAGAATGCAGTATAGTGATGCAAACCAAAATCGTTCTCTTATTGGAGCCAAAGTTGATTAGGTCCTAAATTAACTAAAAATCAAAATTACTTTTAAAAATGCGAATTTTGTTGGTTTCTTTTTTTTAATTAAGAAGTACTTTGCAAAATAAATTGAAAATAATTCTAAATACTTCTTTTTGGATTTTTTTTTAATAAAAAGAGTGAAAAGGTAAATTAAAATTAAAAATTGAAGGATACTTGATTAAAGATACAACAATTCAAATGAATTCCCCTTTAGAGTTTTAAACCACGCCTTCCTTGCTTCAAAAGATTTATAGAGTTTTAATTTCCAAGAAATCAGTTAGTTCAAGCAACCACTTAAACTTAGATTAATTAACCTGTAATGAAAACCCTTTAACTAAAAGAGTTCTTAACAGCATTAACAACCCTCATGAAACTCCATTGGAAGAGATTAATAACTTTGCACAATCAAAATTCAACAATCTTAACACTGCAAGATTGAACCAGAAACTTAACTCAAAAGATTAATATTAAATTAACTGAATCCAATATCAAGCAATCAAGTTAAGAATTAAACAATGCAAACCAAGTGCACAGCTATCAAACTCAATACTCAAATCCCAAACTACACTACAACTGTAACGTAACAAATCCAGAATCACAATCCAATTAACTAACTAAGATAAACCAAAATGCAAAACTAAAATTAGAGATAAGAATATTATCAAAACTCCCTAATTGATTGCCCCAAGCTCTGGCACAACTCTCTCTCTCTCTCTCTCTCTCTGCTCCTTGGGGAAATCAGATTCAGCTGCTCATGGTAGTTTGGTTTGCTCCACCGAGCTCCTCAAACCTTCTGAGCATCATCACAGCGGCACGCACATTTGGAGAAGGGGGATGGATGGTGATGATGGTTCAAGACGGTGATGAAGGCGGAAAGGAATAAGGTCGCGTCTGCGTGGATGGATTTTTGGTGTGTGGCTGTGATGGTTTTGTAAGATGATGATGATGATTCTGTGATGTGGTAGTGCCGCAGGCGGGGAGGGGAGGTTAATTAACACTTTGTTACGGATTTTCAGAGCGGAGGGGAGGGAAATCATTTGGCTAGAACACTTTTTAAAAGAGGGAAGGAGTTACTCCCTTGCCCTCGTTTGACTGGAGTAATTTTTAAGGAGAGAAGAGGCTCTTATTCTCTCTTTTTGTTTTCTTAACCTCTCCTTTACAAGTAGAGTTTTCGGAAGGAAGATGAGAAAAAAATTATTTAGTTTCATAACTAATTTTAGTAAAATAATATAATTTCTTTTTTATCTTCTTTTTTAATCTTACAATTTTAATAACTCTTGTCAACTCAACCTATATTTAACTATTCAACTAAAAAAAATCAAACTACTTAAAATTTTGCTAAACAAATAAAATTATAAAAATCATTAGGACAAAAAAAGAAACAATAAAGAATTATAACATTTTTGAAAAAGTCAATATAGAGTAATATTAACTTAAGATAGATAATAAGAATCTTATAATCTTTTAATTAGTTAAAAATCAAAAAATAAAGAAATAAAACATAAAAAATGGTAAAAATGTAATTTTTCTTTTAAACCCAGTAGAATTAATAAATAACATTATGGAAAGAAATTTGATTTCAATTTTTTTGTTTTGTTCTTCTCAATAAGTTGTGCTTGTGGCAAAAGCATAACCTAATGTTTTTTTTTCAAGTTGATAAACTGCCTCATACATATTGATAAAATAAAAAAATTTATTTAAATTTTATAAGAGTAAAATAGTTAAGTTTTGAATAGCTCTCGTTCCTTCCCCTCTTAGGTAAAATAAGGTAACCGCCTCATACATATTGATAAAATAAAAAAATTTATTTAAATTTTATAAGAGTAAAATAGTTAAGTTTTGAAATGCCTCATCTTCCTTCCCCTCCGATCAATCTAAACAAAGGATTCTTAAAATTCCTCTCCTCTCCTCTCCTCCCCTCCCCTTTCCTTATATCTTTCCTCCCTTCCCATGTCCTCCCTTTTCCTTATCTCTCTCTTCGCTTTCCCTGCCCTTCCCTTTTCTCTATTGAAATCACTCCCCTCTCTTTCCTTTCGTTGAGTCAAACACAGTGTATGAAAGGAGAAAAGAGGGGAGGGGAGATCATAGGTTTTGTTTGGTTACAAGGGAAGGGAAAGGAGGAGAGATTTCTTGTTTGGTTCATAAGAAGAGAGGAAAAGAGAGGAGAGATTTCTTGTTTGGTTCATAAGGGGAGGGGAAGGGAGGTAATTATAAATTAAAAAATATGCACTTATCTCTATATTTAAACTACTTTATTCTTTTATTACAATATTTATATTAAAATTATTATTTCTTAATTTATCGATTTCAAAAAAAAAAACCAATTATCTCAGTTACATGTGATAAGATAAAACTAAAAAAAATTAGGAAATATGATAAAAGTTTAACATTCTATCTCATTAATGGAGGGAAGAAATATTTATATGGACAATTTTATCCTTATTTTATTTTTATATGATAAAATATTTTTATATGGATCTAAATATGTTTATTAATTAATCAGAATCTCAAAAGTTTGTTTCATCACTTAACTATGATAAAATTATTTATATATTTTTTAAATAATAATTTTATTAATATTGACATACTATTTTATTAACTTTAATACGTTTTCTTTTCAAAATTTTTTGTAATGTAATATTATCTCCGGTTTTTAATATAAGAACTCGTTTAATTTTTATTTTGGTTTTAAATATAACATTCCAATCCATTTTGACTGTCATATTCATTCATTTTTTTTCAAGGTAGTTAAAAAATATTTTAGGAAAGACAATACCTATATATTATAAATAACTAACTTAACTTTTTTTTTAATATACTCAAATTAGTCAATTAGCTCTTATATTTATGACCAGAGATGGCATATATGTGTAGTGGTAGAGAAATATCATTAAAAAAAATTAAAAAATACTTAATTAAAAAAATATTATTGTTTGTTCTTGTTAAATATGAGAGCCCAAATTAAAACACAAGAAAAACCCTCATTATTATATCATCTTCCATCCCCTGCCACATACTTGGACAGCCCCTTCTCTTTCTAGTATTATTGTCTTCTTCGCACACCAGCAGCCGCCGCCAACTCCTCTTTTCAAAATCGCATGTCCTCTTCCATCACTAGTCTTCTTTCTACCAAGAATATTTTGGGGGGCTGTTCACTACTCGTTACGGTTGAAGGGAAGGAAGAAGATTACAAACAAACAATAAAATATAGACCTTCACGGCATAATCTAGAAGAAAACAAAACAAGAATGAAGAACATTGAAGAAACTGATAAATCAGAGGCAACAATGCGTGAACGGGAAGAAACCACTGAAGGGGAAGTACAAGATAATATTGGGATATTGAAAAAACAGGAAAGCTATTTTAGTCAGGAAATGGCAAATTAATTCTCTCCCCTCTAAAAACCCCCAATTTGCGAGGGGAGAGGGAGAAAGGGAAGCGATAGGGGGGGAAAAAATTTAACTCCCCTCCCCTCGAAAAAACCCCAACGATATTATGATATTATATTGTTTTTAAAAAAATCAATCAGTTAAAATAAATCATAAAAATATGATATTTTTACTTTTTTTAGCAATATTTTCATCCAATCACAATTAATCCAAATTAATTATAACAAATGTAATTAAACCTAATTTAATTGATAAAAATCTAAAATAAGATATGAAAAATCAATATAAAATCAGAATTTATCAAACAGTGATGCAAATGTTCACTATATAATAAAGGACTCAATTTTCATCACAACTATTATGGAGGCAGATCTTGGATCCCGCATAAACTCCCCTGATGGCCTCGTAAGAAGCATATCATCACCGCGCAGAGCCAATAACCGAGCAAGTGAATATCTTATCAAAATGAACGAAAGAACCACCGATGTTCAAAGCAAGCATGAAAATCCGTTAACATCCAGATAAAATAGTACAAACTTACAGATAAGAGAATGCACAGGGCAAGCCCCAAAACAGATGTATAGACTGTAAAAACCATACGAAGCGTGCCAAAAAAAAGGGAAAACAAAAACAAAATCCCGTGAGGAAAAGAAGAAAAACAGAGGAGCACGGAGAGGGATCCAGAGGACGAACCAGGAAAGCAGAATTGCAGAGAGATGAAGGAAACTAGAAGACAGAGCGAACTGGGAATATGGAGTGGACAGCAAAGAGAACCGAAGCTGTGATCAATAAATCAATCACAGCAAGGGGTAGACGACGAAGTTGACAACGATGATCAATTGCACGTTGGATTTTGTGGATGAATCAGCCACTCATCGAATTCAATGTGGCGCATGCACCTCTACATTCATATCCGCGACATGGCACCAAGGCCCCCAGAAAAAAAAAAATTGGCCACATGGCAACAAAAAATAATAATATTATTAATAATAAGAATCAGAACTGTTTTTCTATTGTAGAAGAAGATACTTACATTTTGGCCCGAAGAAGAAAAGATAGTTCAGTGTAGTTCAGATTTTTATTATATTATAGGCATCTATATTTTAGATGAAATGTACTTAAGGGACTAAAATCTATTATTTGAAATTTAAAAGATCAAAATTAAAATGAAAATAAATTTAAGAGATCAAAAATTATAGGCTAAAGTATACATTTGGTCCTTTAATTTTGTACAAAGTTTCAATTTGATCCCTTAACTCTAAAAAGTATACTTTTAATCTTTTAATTCTAAAATTTTTTTAAGAAATGATAAGATTAAGATTTTAAATGTTGATAAGATATTCTCAAATACTACTTCTGGTTCTAATTATAAGAGCCAGTTGACTAATTTGAGGAGATTAAAGAAGTAAGTTGAGTTAGTTATTTGTTCTAAATAGGTGTTGTCTTTCCTAAAATATCCTCATTAATCAAGTGTATTGACTAGAACTATTATTGTTAGAAGAGCTATTTTGAAAAAAAAATGTATAAATATGAGAGACAAAGTAGATTAGTGTCTTATATTTCAAAATAAAAGTTAAACAGGGTCTTATATTAATAACTGGAAGTAGTACTAACATATTAAGTTTAATTTTCAAA